GGTAACTAGGAATTACACAAGCTTCAGTCTGGATCCAGCCCTTACAAAGACCTGAGATGACCAAACACCTGAGAAGAGATGATGCCGACCCCTCAGAAGACCTCAGATGATGCCAATCCTCAGACAATATACAAAACTACCAAATTTTGCTATAAGTTTGATCGCAACATATAATCATTGCTGTTAATAGTGTTCACCGTCTGTTTGATTACATGACATTTACTAACTGCTTGATTTTTACCGTACATTTCTGCTATATGAACATCAATTGAGATAGTCACCACTGATAAGCTATTACTAAATATATGTAGAAACATTATATAATGTTTCTGTAAAGCTGCTTTGCAACGATTTGCATCGTGAAAAGTGCTATACAAATAAACTTGAATTGAACTGAATGTCAACAGAAACTGATATTGACCAAAACAATCTGCTGTATTACTGTAACTGTAAATATCATGTTCTCTTTTTTATGGCTCATTTTGGTGCAGTAGCTTAGCTGATTCTTCACACATAATGCTAAAATCTATAAATCTTCCCTCATACATCATTTCCAGTGTGTGTGTAAGAGCACAGATCTTCTCCAGACTCACTGTTCTGGACGATGTCCTGCATCTTCTTCCAGACTCTGAAGGGCAGGTTGCCCAAGTAACGCGGCACATGAATCAAAGCTCCAGAAGGCGTCTGTGGATCCGGCTGTGATGAGATCTGGACTCTGGAAGAACATTCAGGATCAGAACTGCAGTGGCTTTGGATCAGAAGCAGAGAGAGCAGAGACAGCAGCAGATCACTCACCTTTCCATCGTGACTGGAAACTCCTGCAGAACAAACACACCATTGATCATCAAGAACTCAATCAACCATCAATCAATCAATGGATGATCTGAAATCAGACCTTCAGAAAGCAGACGTCACTGGCTTTCATCATCTCCTCCGTGTCTTTGATTGTGTGTGAAAGAGCTGAGATGTGTCTGTTCATCTCCTCCAGCTTCTCCTTCATCATCTGCTTCTTCTGCTCCTCTTCCTCTCTCAGTGCAGTGATTGTAGCTTCTTCTTCATCTCTGAGAAGCTGATGAAGCTTCTCAAACTGCTGTTTAATCTGACGCTCCGTGTGATCAGCTTGAGACTGAAATCAAACCACATTCATTTCAATCATTTAAAATATGTGACTTACTCTGGAGCAGCATGAAGAGCGAGTGAGTAAATGTGGGTTAGTTAACTTCAGTTTTAACTTTCTGAAGTACTAGTACTGTAGTAGTAGATGTTCTGTCTCTGTAGGTGAAAATACACATAAATCTCATCAGCCTCTTTTCACAAAACGACACAGTGTTAAATGGCTTAAAGGCAGGAATATACTACACAACTTTTGCCCTGATTTCCCCCCAATTTACAGTCCAGAGAAGTCGACGCTAGTTACAAAAAGTCAAACCCATTCTGCAGATTAGTGTTGACAGATTCCACAGAAAATAGCGAAGTGTATAATGGTTGCAGATTTTATTAGCTTCAGATTATGAATGTGACAGTGACACGGAATGTGATGTGATATGACATGTGGCCAAGTATGGTAACCCATACTCTGAATTTGTGCTCTGCCTTTAACAGTGAGTTTTGAACACACACCCAGAGCAGTGGACAGCCATTTGCTGCAGTTGGGGGTTCAGTGCCTTGCTAAAGGGAAGAGTATTGAAGGTGGAAGAGAGCGCTGTTCATTCACTCCCCCTACAATTCCTGCTGGTATTGAGACTTGAATCCACAACCTTCGGGACGACTCTCTAACCATTAGGCCACTAATCCTTAGTTGTGTAATGTATGACATCCAGTTTTCCTTTGTGATTATTTAAAGTTGGTAAGTGTATAATGCCTAGCGTTTTAAAATCTGTTCAGATTTTAAAAATCTTGTAGTGTATTCCAGCCTTAAGAAGATTCATATAATATTTGGAAGCATAACAGCTGAACCAAAGACAATAGAATACGTTGCAAACGTGCAAAAAAATGCAACGTTCTATTGGACGAAGCCCCGCCTTCTGAGTAAAAGAGCCAATCGCTAATCGGTAAAGTCCTTGCATCACTGCAGCTGCCGTTAGAAGTCCTGGTTGCTATAGAAAACGTGCGCTTAACTGCGCATGCGCACTGGCTGGTCTAGCCTGAAAAATAAGCATTTTTTGACGCTATTGGAGCAAAAGAAACATCATTTATGAGACAGTTGTTGTCAGATTTCATTGGTGATTTCAAATATTAAATTTAATCATAAGCTTGGCGAAAAGTTTGGGAGAATTTGATGTTTCCCCATTCAAATAGGAGCTGCACTTGCACGCAAGAGAGGTGTTTCAAAGATGGCCGCAGAGTGACATGACTTGCCTTAAAGGGACTTTAGCTGGACTTAGGTTAGTCAATAAAGCATTTTTAATAATTTTCTGAATGTTAGAACTAAAACATGGAAACCATGTCTGAATGAAAATGCAGAATTTCAAATTAAACTGAATTACTGGCTGGTGGTGCTTGAGACGTCATTGGTCTTTCAGTGTTTCTGTGAAAAAAGACTAGCAATAATTATTATTAAGATAAAAACAAAGATACTTAAATGTATTTTTAAATCTATTTAACAACACTAGATTACATTAAATAACTTACAACAGTCAAAGATCTTCTTTTTTTTTACCCAGATCTTCTCTCAGGTAGATTTATATTGTCAACTGCTCATGAATATTAATCATGCTGTCTGCGTTTGACTAAAATTATTTGCGGAAAGCAAAGAGTGTGAAAAGTGAGCACTAGCCAATGGGATTGCTGCTTGCATGTTAGTCCCACCCACTGCCGAAGCAACCAGCAATCAGAAGTTTCAGCTTTTGTATTTTTTTTTTCCAGTTTCTTTACATTGTATAAACTCAAAGGGTTAGTTCACCCAAAAATTAAAATTAGCCCATAAATTACTCTCCCCTGCGCTTCCGCGTTCGTCACCTCTGAGTGGCGCATGCGCAACGCTGAACTCATACGACATCCGCCCGGAGCTGCTTCTGTGTACAACTGCTGGCGCAAGCTACATTAAAGTGATTATTAAGTTTTGAATATGGATATTTTTCTTACAAAAATGCATCGATTCACTACAGGAGGCCTTTGTTCACCCCCCGGAGCCGTGTGAGACACTTTTTTATGGATGGGCGCTTTTTATTTAACTTCTTTTGGACTGAAGCATGCAACACCCGCTGAGTGGCATTAAACAGCTTGAAAGATCAAAGACGATTTTTTATATAACTCAGACTGGATTCGTCTGAAAGAAGAAAGTCATGTACACCTAGGATCAGAATGAGCTTTATGAGCTTTATTGCCAGGTATGTTTACACATATTATTTTCAAAAGTGACATGTCGTCCTAGTTATAAAAGTTGCTGTGACCCTGAGAAGGCGAATATTTGATGGTTTAAATGCATATTTCTAATTTTATTTTATTTATTTTTTACATATTTTGAATAAATGTCCGTATATGTAATAATAATTTCCATCTTTATATACTATTAAATAAAAACATGCATTGAAAATTTTTGTTTTCCAGTCAAAGGAAGATACAATTATGCGAGACAACCAATTCAGCTTTTCTCATCAAATTCGATTTGAAAAGAATCAATCCTCACCTTGATGTGTTGAACTGTTCTCTCAAATTCCCCTTTAATGTTTTCTTTGTGTTTTAGTTTCTCTTGTAAGGGCTTCAGTGCTGTATTGAGCTCCTCCTGGAATTGAAAGTGAAAATCCAAGACACCAGAGATTCATGCTAGATGTACATTGAATGCATATGGTACAGAGACATACATTGTTTATTATATAAAACTTATATATATATCCCCTACCTTATATGATGAAGCCACTTCACCGATGGGTCTGAATGTGTGATTGATGTGTGTCTGTGAAGTAAAGCACACTAAACACGCAGGCTGTTTGTCCTCCAGACAGAAGAGTTTGAGTTTCTCACTGTGTAAACTGCAGAGTTCCTCGGATCCTGATGAAAGGTTCTCGTTATTCTCCTTCAGGTACAACTCGCACAAGTTTTTTAACGCCAGATTACACGTAGGTTCATGTTTTGACAGTCTCCTGCAGACAGGACACTCCCGAGCTTTCTTGATTTTCCAGAACTGTTGAAGACACTCTTTACAGAAACTGTGACTACATGATAAAATAACAGGAACATTGAAAACATCACGACACACGGGACAACTATAATCATACTCAGCTGGTGAATCCATTTTCAGCGTTTGAGCTCCAGAAATCTAAACTTAACTTTCACTTTCTGAATGATTGCTTCAAGAATCACGAGAATGAGCTCAAGCAAACTAAACTTCACTTTCATTTTATGAACGAGAATCTCAAAAAAAAAAAAAAAACTTCTCAAAAATCCTTCTTAAAAGCGTTTTTGTCCAACATGAGAGTCAGTTTGATAGGAAGAGAAATCATGAATCTCTTCCTGGTACGCGTTATGTAAGAGGGTGGAGTTTCTGATCATCTTTGGTTTTGTTGAGCAGCAGGTCAGATTAAGTGCAGCAGGTTAATGTGAGCAAAATGCGTTCAAAATGAACTCCCAAAAGTTCAATGCTAAAAAACCTTGAATCAGCAACATAAAAAAAGAGAGTCAACGCACTTTATTTGCAATTGCGTTCAATGTATTCTTTATTCGAACCTCACGAGTCAAAATGATTTCTTCACATGCCGAAGTCACAAAACACACGTCTGCTTATGGGGCTGATTGTCAGTGTTTGGAGACGCCAAACCATTTCTTCTGCATCATCCTCATTCACATTTACCGTCACAAGGTAATGACCAGAAAATCAATTTACATTTTACATACACATTTCTTAATTTAGCGGACACTTTTAACCAAAAAGAGGAATATAACAAAGTGATGCATCTTCGTTTAAAAAGCTATAAAATACACCACACAAAAACGAATTACTATTACCACAGGAAATGACGCGTGCGAGCATCGTCAAGTGCAAACGGCAGTCTTATTAAGAAAAAACAAAAACTTTTCTACAGTTGAGGTTTAAAAAATATTAGTGATTATTATACTTTGTTGTGGTCAGAGGCCAACTTAAAATAAAAGGGAACTATACAGTTTATCTCAGATTTTACCTCAGGCCACCTCACGGGAGATTATTCGTGAACAAATCAACCAAACAGGGCATTTAATTGTCCCGTTGCAAAAAGCCTATGCTTTCAAATTTTGTCATTTAAGAAATTCATACAATAAATACCGTTTTGTGGCTCTTTAATGTGTCCTGACAGATCGCTGTAGCGCCTCAGTTCAAGCAAAACCACTAACAAAACACTACAGGAAACCAGTTTTTAATGGTTAATAGTTGATGGTTTGTAATATGTACTGGTATTTGTAGTGGAAACCAACAGAATTTTTGTGATTGGTTTCTATTGTTTTTTTTTTTTTTTCAGCAGGCAAGATTATAATGGTATAACTACTTTTACAGAAGTAATGACCAGAAAATCAATTTACATTTTACATACACATTTCTTAATTTAGCGGACACTTTTAACCAAAAAGAGGAATATAACAAAGTGATGCATCTTCGTTTAAAAAGCTATAAAATACACCACACAAAAACGAATTACTATTACCACAGGAAATGACGCGTGCGAGCATCGTCAAGTGCAAACGGCAGTCTTATTAAGAAAAAACAAAAACTTTTCTACAGTTGAGGTTTAAAAAATATTAGTGATTATTATACTTTGTTGTGGTCAGAGGCCAACTTAAAATAAAAGGGAACTATACAGTTTATCTCAGATTTTACCTCAGGCCACCTCACGGGAGATTATTCGTCAACAAATCAACCAAACAGGGCATTTAATTGTCCCGTTGCAAAAAGCCTATGCTTTCAAATGTTGTCATTTAAGAAATTCATACAATAAATACCGTTTTGTGGCTCTTTAATGTGTCCTGACAGATCGCTGTAGCGCCTCAGTTCAAGCAAAACCACTAACAAAACACTACAGGAAACCAGTTTTTAATGGTTAATAGTTGATGGTTTGTAATATGTACTGGTATTTGTAGTGGAAACCAACAGAATTTTTGTGATTGGTTTCTATTGTTTTTTTTTTTTCAGCAGGGCGATCATCTCTTCCTTTTTACTACTAGTTACAGCACAAAATAAACATGAATAAACATCAAGGGCTGCACAATGTCGGAAAAAAACTCACAATGCGATATTTTGTTTTTCTGCGATATATATTGCAACATGAAAAAAAAAAAATAAATCACCAGATGACTTAATTGAATAGCTCGATTTGAAAAAAAATTATGATTTTGTAGGCGAGTAATTCAGCATAGAAAATAAACAATATACAAGCATAGATAAATATAATAAAACAAAGATACAAATGAAATAAACAGTGCTTTATATTTTTCAGGCAAGTCTAACAGTATTCAGGTACAGAAATTGAATAATCAAATGTAAAATAACACTGTATAGTCTTCACTGTATAAATTAAATAGAGTTAAAGCTACAAAAGTGATTTTTCTCTTTGCGTTTTGTTGTTTGATTAACATTCATGACACAGAAAGCATCAGGAACATTAAACTACTGTGAACCAATATGCTGTTATATATATCCGTTTTCTTTCTCAATTGTTTACCTTCACCTAAGCAACTGTGTTTATAAGGATACTTGCAGAGACATGCATTTTGCCCGTTAAGTGTCACTTCAGGCACAAATAGACGAAGTGAACGGAATTCGGTGTTGATCTGCATCTGCGTGGCTCTGTGTGTGAGCACAGAAAACAGCACGTGTACATAATTGAGCTCTATTTTGCGCCTTCTCGCACTTGAATGTTTAAAAAGACAGAACCTGAAACACATGCAAATGAACCTTCATTGAATGATGGTTAAACTTTGCAATTAATCTAATAATCACCTGCTTTTCGAACCCTGGTCCATACGGATTAACGATCACTAAATACTATACTAAATATCGCAGATCCTGTGATGTGATTATCGCATTTGCACACATCGCGATATCAATGCTGAAATATCGTGCAGCCCTAGAAGGTATGATATTTCAACCACGGAAAGACATCAATATACCATTATTTGTCAGACAAAAATGAAATTGAATAATCAAATGTAAAATAACACTATATAGTCTTCACTGTATAAATTAAATAGAGTTAAAGCTACAAAAGTGATTTTTCTCTTTGCGTTTTGTTGTTTGATTAACATTCATGACACAGAAAGCATCAGGAACATTAAACTACTGTGAACCAATATGCTGTTATATATATCCGTTTTCTTTCTCAATTGTTTACCTTCACCTAAGCAACTGTGTTTATAAGGATACTTGCAGAGACATGCATTTTGCCCGTTAAGTGTCACTTCAGGCACAAATAGACGAAGTGAACGGAATTCGGTGTTGATCTGCATCTGCGTGGCTCTGTGTGTGAGCACAGAAAACAGCACGTGTACATAATTGAGCTCTATTTTGCGCCTTCTCGCACTTGAATGTTTAAAAAGACAGAACCTGAAACACATGCAAATGAACCTTCATTGAATGATGGTTAAACTTTGCAATTAATCTAATAATCACCTGCTTTTCGAACCCTGGTCCATACGGATTAACGATCACTAAATACTATACTAAATATCGCAGATCCTGTGATGTGATTATCGCATTTGCACACATCGCGATATCAATGCTGAAATATCGTGCAGCCCTAGAAGGTATGATATTTCAACCACGGAAAGACATCAATATACCATTATTTGTCAGACAAAAATGACGATTTCGACATTAAGATTGGTAGATCGCCTGTCAAACAAACTCCCAGCGAAGGCTGAATTACGAAATTAAGTTATAAAGTTACATTTAACGTAAAATGAGCAAAAGCATGCAAAAAAATGCATTTACAAACTGCATTGGCAGTGCTTACCTTGTCTCTGGTGTCCGTCTGCTAATTGGATTCTAAATCAACATCTTAAAGACATTCTCTAAACGTCTATTTGACATCTGATAGGAAACGTCCTATAGAAGCAGATGAGCAAACACTAAAACATAGGTCTTGCAGATGTAAATGCAGACGTAAAATAGACGTCTCCGTGATGTACGAGTGCTATCAGGGTCGCCGATGCCAAACGAATATCTAGCATGCCAAATATCTGGACCGGTCGGCCAACTCGACATCCCCTGGTGTCAGGTGTCGCGACGAGCTACAGCCAATGAGAGAGCAAGGCATGGGTTGAGGTCACTGGAAGAAAAAAAGCAGCAGCAACACGGCTTTAAGAAAAGCTTGGACACAAGAAATGGAGCAAAATTTTTCAGAACAGATCATCACGCAAACAGCTTGCAGCACTAATTTCTTCCCGACGTCCATTTTCACATCCATTGATTTGGGGACCGGATAGAGTCATTGGGTAACAGAGTTGTTGTCAGCTGGTGTAGTGTGTGACCCCCTGTTGCGGATCATTTACGTAGTGTGAACACCACAACGACCTCAAGACAGACAGCAAGTCATGTAGTCGGAGCAGCACAGCGATCTGCGGACGTTTAAAGGTGTGTAGTCTGAACGAGGCATAAGATCACGTAACATTAAAACAGCCTTCTGTCTGTGCCGCCTTCATTTACTTACTCGTTTTCGTCACTTTCACTTCAATTCTCAGGCACTGACTCGTTCGCTAAAGCCTAGTTCAAAAGTTGTAATAACACGAGAAAGTAAATAAGACATTAAGTGACTGTAAGACTCTGCAACAGACTCTTGTGCACAAGCAAAATAAACTTGAAAGAAGAAGCAGGTATGACGTGATTTCCAGTAAAAATCCATTTCCTCTAATTCACATCAATTATAAAAGCATTAATGAATAAAATCATAATTTATTCAGAAAAAAAAAAAAAACTAAAATAAAGTTTCACAAAAATAATGTTTACTGCATTATACTGTGATTAATATGTATAATGTTTAATTTTCTTTTATAAACTGAATTATAGTAAAGGTTAAACAAACTTACAAAAATAACACATCTGTCCTCTCGTCTTACTAAAGTCCTGGACAAATGCAGATCAACAGCTGAAAGGCAAAATGTTCTGATCGCTGTCTAACAGATGAAACGTTTATTCGGAGTATGAACAGCATTTATTCTCTATTTAAGCAACATGAAGTAAAAGATCCTTCATCAAACACAGGCATCAGAAACGTGTTCTGGGTCACGTCTGGATGATCTACATGAGTTCAGTCTGGAGGTTCAACATCTTTCAGCTTCATTAAAACACGTGAACACTCACCAGGACCTGCAGTAACTCTCACCTGATTAAACCCTCATAGACACAGTACAAATGTGAGCCTGTTTGTTCA